AATGGACCCAGTTTTTACTACAGAAGCTTTGTAGAAGGTGAATATATTCCCTGAGGAGGCAGGAGGCAGCTCTGCACTGTGCTGTTTGCCTCTCACAGCACCCTGTACTCTCAGCTGGGTCAGGGTCTGTTGAGGACACTCAAGGACTGGCAGGAGAGCACAGGCTGCCAGCCCTGGGGACAAAAGAGGCTGCAGGCACTGGAAAAGGCAAAATGACCAATGTGCTACTGGTGAAATGGGCTCCCACACCCAGGGACCGTGACTGCTGTGGACATGTCCTTTGCGGCAGGATTACACATTTTTGTCTATAAAGGGGAAGAGGCCATTCTCCTGCCTGTTTCACACCCATGCCCAGTTTGAGTTTGTTGAACTACTATTTTTCTTTCCTTCTTGAGACCTATCAACTTTTGTCCTTGCTTTAACTTCAGGCTGCAGCAGCTACACATGACAAAGCAAAACACCAGGGCTCGGGCAGTGGCAGCGGGGCCGGGGTCGGCTGAGGCCAGGGAGGAAGCGCCTTTGTCACCAGATGAGGAAATGAGCCACACCTCCCTCAGAGTGAACAGTGCAGTCATTTACTTGGGAATCTAAAAAGATGTCAATTAGCTTGTGTCCAGTACACCACAATTACTTTTTTTAGTGTGAACCTGTTATTTTAGCTCCCTAGAAAGGAATCAGGCCAGGGAAACTGTAGGTGTTTCTCCTGCTGGCTGGCAGATCAATGGGCTGAGGTTTAACAAGACCAGGTGACAGGACCTGCACTTTGGTCACAATAACTCCAAGCAATGCTACAGGCTGGGGGAAGAGCGACTGGAAAGCAGCCTGGTGGAAAAGGACTTGGGGGTACTGGTGGATGGCTGGCTGAACATGAGTAAGCAGTGTTTGCAGATGGCCAAGAAAGGCAATGGCATCCTGGCCTTTATCACAAACAGTGTGTCCAGCAGGAGCAGGGAAGTGACCCTGCTGCCCCTGTACTCGGCCCTGATGAGGCCACAGCTTGAGCACTGTGTTCAGTTCTGGGCACCACAGTGTAAGAAAGACATTGAGGCCTTGGAGCATGTCCAGAGAAGAGCAACAAGGCTGGTGAGGGGTTTGGAGGACACATCGTACGAGAAGAGGCTGAGGGAACCAGGGTTGTTCAGTCTGAAGAAGAGAAGGCTGAGGGGAGATCTTACTGCTCTCTACAACTACCTGAAGGGAGGTTGCAGAGAGGCTGGTGTTGGTCTCTCCTCCCAAGTAACCAGCAATAGGATGAGAGGAAATGAGTTCAAGTTATGCCAGGGGAGGTTTAGGTTGGATATTAGGAAAAATTTATTTACTGAAAGAGTGATGAAGCACTGGAATGGGCTTCCCAGGGAAGGGAAGGCCAGGCCCCAATTTGCAATCTTCAAAGCATTTTACTCTTTGCCTTTTGCACACTTTGGGAAGCCCAGCTTTGTCTAATATTTGGTAAACACATTATTTAGCTGGTAGGGAAACCAGCGAACAAGCAGGAGCTGCAGCTGATGTGAACCCTGCCAGGCTGTGGCTGCGCTGCTCCCAGCTCTGCTCCTGGCTGTCCCCATGTCACCTGCTGAGCTCACCGCCTGGATCTCATCCTGCACTAAATATGCAACGGAAAATAACCCCTGAAACTGGAAGGTGTTCAGGTCCCACAGTGACAGGCACAGTTTGAAGACACAGAAAACAGTCTTGCTTAAGGGCTTCAATTAGCTTCCAACTAAGATGATTATAACATTTCCTAGGGGCCAAGGAATCCTTCCAAGGGAATCAAATCAAAACACAGGGCTGCACAGGCATCCTGGCTCAGAATAATCTGCTCCCTAGCCAGCCCAGCAACACCTTCTCCAGCATGAGCCAAGCCCAGTGCAACTCCCTCTCTCAGCGTGGCTCTCCTGTGACTGTCCTGCCTGCTCTGCCAGGGCATGCTGTGACACTGCCCAGCCGAGGGGACAGGGCTCTGCTCTCTCAAAGCAAAAGCATTTTCTTCCCAATGCATTTTTTTTACCACGCCCTTCCACACATCTTAGAAACTTTCTGGAGGCCTCAAGCATTTTCCCTGATGTTTTGCAGGGAGGAAAGTTAAGAGCGAGGTTTCTGTGTGAGGAACCCACTTGGTCACAGGCTCTGCCACCGGGGATCGGAGCCCATGGTGCTGCCACGACCTGCAGGGATGCCTCCCTCAGCCCAGAGCCAAGGCACAGCAGCCTGCACCACCCACAACTGCTTCACCATTGAAAGGGATTATTATCTTCCAGCTGCGTTCAGCCTAATTTCCTTTGTGCAACAGTGTGCTTAATTGCAGAGATTCTAATTTACTGTTGCAGAGCACAAGCCTGACTCCATGGATAAATTAAAATGACAGCTCCATGAAGTTCAGAATTTAACTTTCTGACTTATCTGATCTGATGCAGATACAAATATTTAAATCCAGCTAAGGAAACAAACAGCTTGGTTCTAAGAAGTTCCAGCTGGAATGAGGAAAAAGGATTTTACAGGAAGAGAGGCTGCAACAATTAGTGCACTGTCATACTCCTTGCGGGCACAGATCATCAGCTAAGCAGAGCTCCAGGGCCAGCCTGCTGCACTCCTCCTCTGCAAGACACGTTTGGGCTTAGGGGTTTTTTTCCCATTTAGTAGAAAACTACTTTGCTGTATTGAGAGTAAGAAGTTTTATTTTTAAATCTCCTTTGTACAATTCCCCTGTTCTCCAAGCCTGTTCAGTGAAACACACTGAGTCTGGTGCATGACTTGCTGCCAAGAAGGCAGTGCTTTTTATTTTTCTCTTGTAATCATGACCACCATGCTCTGATCTGTGCATTAGGCTGGGATTCATCTCACCCTCCAAGCTGGTAAGAGGTGTTCCTGCCTGCTCATGGTCCCACCCATGCTCTGTAACCCTTGGGAGAGGCCACCATCATCTGCAGGGGCTTCACCCCATCCCCACACTGATAGATGCTATTTTTGTTGAGACAAAGCAAAGCTGAATTCAAACCGAATGTTAAAAAGAATAATAAAGAAAGATTAATTTTTCATTTTGTGCTCTGGATATTCAAATCAGATATCGAATATTCTGTTTTTTCAGAGAAACAAACAGAGCACTCAAACTTCCAGCACAACCACAGCCCATGACTCCAGCACAGACCCTGGGTAAAGCTGCTGCCCAGGGTTTGCACCACAAATCCAGCTCCATCACCCTTAGGGCCACCTGCCCGTGGGAAACTGGAGAGACATTTGGACAGGAGAGTTCAGCTTCTCTGCTCTGAAACTGGTGGGAGCAAACAAAGGCTGCTCCCTGCACAATCCCTGAAGCCAGCACGGACACACTGGATCAGCAAGTCCCACAAATCTGATCCCAGCCTAGTCAAACAGACTGAATCCATGGAAAAACAATTCAGAGGCGGCACTGAAATGGACCCCGAGTGACAGAAACCTAAAGGAAACAACACGCTCTGCATCTGTGAATAGCTTCTGGACCATCACAGGAGTAGTTTACACTTCCTAAGATGACGTGACAGGAATGCAATTCCTGGGGCTTCGCGGCGATGCCGGCACAGCCCGGGCAGCACAAACCTGCATTGCGTCTGAGCCTCCAAGCAATTCACACCGGATTCAGAGAAGAGGGAGAGCAAGAACCAGCCATCCCCACTGACATCCTCAAAGATAATTTTAAGCTGTCTTCCAAAAGAATAAAAATGCTGCCTGCTTGCAGAGAGGCCTGCACGGCATCAATATTCTCAGAGCATCAGCAGCCACACCAGAACCAGCTCCCCTCCCGATATCCTGACTCCAGACTTGCCTCCCGAACCCCGAGAGCTGCCGATCGGATCGCGCTGCCTCCCTTACCCACACCAGCCTGCCTGACAGCAAGAGAAAGGCTCAGATCTCTGATGCATCTCCAACACCAGCAGCAACACCACATCTCCAAAAATGACCTTTTGTAAGCAACATAGATATTTTTCCTCTTGCTTGCCCAGTGGCTGGATAACAGGAGAATTTGCCCCAACCAAAGGCTCTGCGAGGGAAGTGACTGGTGAAGACTAATGAGAAAGACTGAGCTGGTCTAATTCTGAAAGGTGATGATCAATAACTGACTCGCCAAAGCAAAGTCGATGCAAGTAGTCAATGTCCAGTACTTGTGAACATGGGAATGAAATGCTATTTGAGAGAAACTGAGGAAAATGCAAACAACACAAGGAATTTGACACTTTACTGTGGAAAAGACCACTGTGAATAGTTCTGAGCACCCTTTATTCCAGCCAAAATGCATGAGGTCTATTTGCTCTCTCCGTATGCATTATAAATTCAGCAACTCTTTCATTTTCCAGATGAGTTTTAATTGTATTACATGCTATTGATTTCACAGGTACAGATGACATCTCTAAGAATTTCCTTTGTGCTACCATTAGCCACTTTTACAAATAGTAAATATGGAAAACCTGCTGTTGTAAGAACAAATCAATGTGCAAAGCTGACAAAACTGCTGACACTGTCAAATATGAGATAAAAAACAATAACCAAACGCTAACACTTACTTAACCCACAAACAGAAATGCATTTTACCTTCACTTTCTCACTCTCAGTACCCCAGCCACCCGAAGCTTCACACACTGCAACCCCAAATTCCAGTCTTTCCCTGCCTCCAAGCAAGTGACCTGTACTTGCATTTCTATCTCATAAAAAATCTGAGACATTCAAAACCTTCCTGGAAATCTGTCTGTTTTGGTTCAGCAAACAGAAAACCTCTCCAAAATATACAGATTAAAATCCACCTCTGTCCAAAAAGGAGCAACTTAAGTTGATCATCTCAATTGTCTGTTCACTCCATCACCATTGCTGGCATGGATGAGTTGTGATTATCTAGGAACTTCTAGGATAAGGAGACTCCCTGAAGCAAGTGTTCCTAGAAGCGCCAAATGTTCAGAAATCTGGAATTTGGAAGTTCCAGCAGATGAAGTGCTACACAACAAGAGCCAGTAGCAACCCGAACGCACACGTACCTGGATGTATCTCAAGGCACTCCTTAGGACACTGAGGTTTGAGGTCTTCTTGTCATCTACGTTGGGGATGTTACGTTTTAATGTCTCAAAGCACTCTTTCAAATGTGCACGTCTAAAGAAAGCACAGGTGGCTTGTCAGCTTGGGGGAGCACACACCAGCAATCAATTTAGCACAGGGCTGGAGCTTAATTTGAGCCTTAATCCAGCAAAGCATGTACACATGTGCATAGCAGCCACCCAGACCACCTGCATGCCCACAACTGATCCAGCTCATTCAGCAGAACAACTACAGGGCTGTATCTCTGAATTCTAGTCCTAGCTTTGTTAGGAAACTGTCGTGCAATCTGAAATTAAATATCCCATCTCCCTGTGCTCTTGCTTCCAAGGTGTTCCTGATTTAGCTACTTAGACTAGTAACAGTTTTGGATCAGGAACTGGTCTTTATTTCTGTAGTCACACTGTACACTGCCCCGATCTTGGCTGTTTTATTACTTTAAATCAAAAGGAAAGTTTCAACATTGTGCATGTGGGGACTTTGCAGGATCAGGGCTGTGCAGGGTTATGGAAACGCAGTTACATGGTGAAGGAAAACATATTGGGAAGGCAGAGATGCAGAACTGAGCTGTAAGAAAGCAAAGCAATACTGCAAGGTTCACTGAAAGTGACTAAGAATTTTGTTCAGGTTATTTGTTAAAAAACCAAACAAACAAAAAAGCCAAAGCCAAACAAATACTGACAGATACAGGCCCAAAAAAACAAAACAGAAAAAGAAGGAAGGGGAAAGATGATAAAACCCAAACCCCTGGCTTTCTACGCACCTGTTCTTCTCCAATTTATTATGTACTTCCCTGGTCCCAACCCTGTAACCCAAACAGAACAGAGATACACTCAGTGTCAGGTTTAAAACTACTGCCATTCAACCTGTACTTCCAGCAGTGTGTGTGTGTGTGTGTGTGTTTCTATGATAGGAAAGTAAATATTAAAAAGCAATAGAGTTGTTCAGACATTGCTGTTTTGGTATTAGTTTAATATATACTTCTACCTATCCTGTATCAAGATAAAATCCATACTTTACATGCATGTAAAATGGGACACGCATTATGCATATACTGCACACAGGATACAAACAGGAATCATATGTGTATTACACACAGACACAGCTACTGTCAACAAGGGGAAAGACACAGAGTGTGAACTTATGTATTTACACAGTACCAGACTGCCCAGATTCTGACCCATTTCTGATCTATGCCTACATTCCAGTGGGATAAGATTAATGTGGTTTCAAATTGAAGTGTACAGGAGTTGGCAGAAATGCTTCAAACCACTGCATTTTTTACTGTGGCTGAAATAACAGAGCTGAGCATGAACATGGAATGAGGCAATCGAGGAATCCCCCCACTGCTAGAGGAAGAACCAGGGCAAGCTTCTGGTTTCTGGGGTTCTGGTCTGTCCCCACCCTCTGAACCTGAGGAATACTTTTAGGAAAAGCCAAACAAAATTATCTTATCTGAATTTTCAGCTACAGTGGTGATAAAGTACATGAGCATACATGTGCAGATTTCAAGTATCTTCCACACACTATGTGTAATGATGTGCCTTTGGCTGAAAATACACTGGCACTGAGGTGACCATTTCAGGAGGTACATTAATATTTAATAAATATTCAGGTATTTAAAAACAAATATTTGACAGCCTTTTCCCATGAAACATTTACAAGCTGAAAAAGACATCTTCTCTGTGCTCATGTGTGAAGGAGTAATTCTGGGGAGACAAGGACCATGCACCTCAGGGTAACCCACCAAAATGCACTTTTTGCAGCTCAGCACACAGGTACTTCCTGCAGTTCCTATGCCAAGAGCTCCAGAAATCCTGCAGGGTAAAATGCCTTGATTCCAGCATAGCCCCAGAGGTGATGCTGGCCTCTGGACTGGGACATCAGCTCTCCCATCTTCCCAGGAGCAAAGATCAGTCTGACAGTCCAAGAGGCTGCTGCTCCAACAGCAAACCCCTTGCAGCCTTTGCTGGCACCCCTTGCCATGGGAAACCCCCTCCCTCCCACTGGAACCCCACACAGCAACATCAGTCACAGGTTCACCTGATTAAAGCACAAATACACTTACACTTTCTGCAGCTGAGCATTTTATAGACAAGCTCTAAAGATCACAATCTATCTTAGAGGAATTATATTGGCACTTTACAAAGGCCATGATTTTTACAAATTCTTATCTATGTTTCTGTCACTGTTTCCTTCTATGCATCTTGGGATCTCAACATCCCAGAGGACACAATGAACCATTTTTTTTGTCCACTACATCTTACATCTCCTCCTGCTCCCACAAGATGACACCGAACTACCACTGCTGGCATGGAGGCCATGCAGAGAGGTCAGTAGCAACTCACAGCCCCATGCTCCTGCTCCTCTCCCAGCAGGGTTACAGAGGTTCTGCTTTACAGCTCAGATCAAACGCCATAAGGACCAGGGGACCTGCCACGTCCTGACCTTCTAATACATCCAAACACTGAGCTCCATCCAGGAGGGAGCAAAAGGCAAGGCCAGATTTTGACCTGGCCAAAATGTTCCTCCCAAGCAGGTCACTGGCCCAGCAAGGACTGCATTTTGCCTGCTTCTTCTGTCAGAGCTTGAAGGAACAATTTGTTCTCCCCATCCACATGAAATAACGCCAACCTACGTGTTAGGATACTGTGCCCTGGAAATAACCACCTAAGGAGAAGACAGAGTCTCCACCAGCCAAAGTCCTTAAGAACAAGTTAGACAAACACTAACCTGGAGCAACATCAGTCACAAGTCCTGTCCGAGGGTGGGTACAGATTAAACAGCCTTTAGTCCCTTTCAGCTGCTGGAGTTTTGAACAAGCAGCCCTTGGCACTTACAGCACTAAGAAACTGAAACAGCAGCTAAGGCGATATCTGTTCTGGGAAATAAAACCTCCCAGATCACATTCCAGTTTTCAAGAAAGTTCCTGCAAGCAACACTGCTGCATGACTTCCCTGACCAGTGCAAGCAGAAATCTTTTGCCAAACATAACACCAGATGCCACCTGAGATCAGACAGGCAGCGCTGGGCCTTGTTTCCTGAGAGAGTTCTGGCTTGGAAAAATAAATCCTTACACAGAATCCTACAGTGTGTAGTCAGGGAAGGTAAAATAAAAACCACCGAGCTAGGAAACTCTGCTATCAAAAAGCACATCCAAACATCCACGGATCTTGGGATTTCTGGTCTGACAACTCTTTGCAAAAGCAGTAGCTGCTCCAAGTCAATGCAGCTTTCAGCATCGTTTTTGTCTGGTCCCTCTCGAAGCCTCCCCACACAAGGTGCACTCACCCTCCAGGTCTCTTCTTCTGCTCATTTGGTTTCGTGTCTTCTGCTGGAGCCAGCTTCAGAGCACCGAGCTGCGGGGCTGCTCCTGGGTGCTGCAGGGGCTGGTGGGGCTGGATGGGCTGCT